AAGTGCAGCAGCCCCTGGAGGAATTTGTGGGCGGGGGTCGCGAGCCCATGCTCATGGAAGTGGGCGAATGACACCACATAGCCGTCGGGTGGCGACGGCGAATCCTTGTTGCCGAGCAGCAACCACTCCTCGGCCGAGGTCCATGCGCGGAGAAGACCACGATGGACGAGGTACTCCATACGGTGGAAGGTGATGTCAGAACGACACCACGGATCCATTGGAGGTGGGGGCGGATGGATGTGAGCTCAACGGTGGCGAAGATGCGGAGGCAGGAAACCTAAGCGTTGGTGGTGCCGTGGCTGAGGAGGGGCGACGGGTGTGAGGAAACCAACCGCCCTCCTAGATCTTCGTGTCTACCATGACCTGTCACCACGTCTCATCGCGGGGCGTGCGCACAAAACCTATTGCCATCCCCTCGAAAAATGCATCGGATGTTTCGCCTCTCTGAACGGGCCACGACCCGTCACAGGTAAGATGGATACAGAGCTAAAAACGCTTCTACGGCCCGCCTAGGCCTAGGAGTTCAAAGGTTATCCCACCGACGGGTTCGACAACCGCTCCAGGCACCTTTAGAGTGAGGGGTGGAAAGGGATGGGGCCCACTAGCAGCCAGTACCCGGGTGCACGAGCGCCGTGGGCATCCCGGCCCACGTTCGAGTCTCAGCCAGATACGATCCATGGTTTTTCGTCGAAGAAAGGCAGAGAGCCCTCGGGACCAGTCGAACGGACCCGAGAACTATATGGATTGATCGTTGAGAATCTAGAGTCGGTCACCAGCTGACCCAAGCCGAACCCCCACGAATGGGATGCCTAGGCCCCACTCGGACTAGCCCGTTAACAGCTCACCGAGCACCATGATTCATCCATAGAGGAAAATCATGGCACAGCTCAGTCCCTCCGTTTTTATCGGAAAAAATGCTTGAGGGAAGACGATCACAAAGACGAGCCGACCCTCGACCAGACCCCTGCTACGGGCGGGGGCTCGAGGAAAGTTGGACTCGCAAGGAGACCGAACACGCGGTCGCAGAATGACAGACCACCATAGGGGTCGGAATCAGGAAAGACCTTTTCTGACCCACCAAATCTCACGGCTATACCCCCAAGGGGTCCGATCACGACGAAAGGGAATCGCCGTCCCCAGGACACGTCGTGGGCGACAAAAGAAGGCCAAGGCCTTCAGAGTCCTCCCGTTCGGAAAAGCCTCAGAAGGAGTATTCTACTCCTCTACAGGCTCGAGAGCTACTATTGGGGACCAATACTAGGGTACCCGAAGAGGAGGAGCTAATGGTCATCAACATTGATTCATCCGAGCAGTCAAGAGCGCGACTACAGCTCTAACCGACCCCTAGGTGCGCGGGCTCCGCCTCACCCGACCTCTGGGGGTGGGCTCCGCCTCGCCCAACCTCTGGGTCGGGGGCCCCGCCTCGCCCGACCTCTGGGTCGGGGGCTCCGCCTTGCCCGACCCCCTCAGGCGCGGCTCCAAACAGAAGCCCGTACTGCCGCCAACCACTACGGGCCAGAAAATACAACCCAAGGTCAAACTTCTGGCATCGTGCAGGGAGCGGGCACATCTCCATAGGACCCGTGCCCCCGACATGTCGCTCCAGGGAATTCACATCACCAACAGTGACAGACGCGTGGTCACTATGTTGCCTACTCCATGAACAGCCGCTGACCAGCACGCTGATTCGCCGCGTCGCCCGCCGGGACGGAATGGGACGTCACGACCCGCTGACAACGCTGGGGCGTGGCATCAGCGGCGAACAGGCGCCCGGCGTGGAGCCGTCCCTGTCACCATCTGCAGTGTCGGCGGGACCCGCATACAGGAGAAGAAAAGCCCAGCGATCCTGGAAGTCTTCCTCTCCTGGGTCCTTCTCCCTCTTTCTCTCTGTGTAACCTGCTCTTTCCCTTCGTCTATAAAAGGGGAAGCAGGACGCCCCAGGAGGGAGGATGGCGGTTCATCACTCTACATGGCTATAGACATCAAAACACACACCCTAACACGCCTTAGGAGCACACGCACATCAGAGACTTGGGACATATCCCTCTCTCGCTCATTTGTAACCCCTACTATAAACTTTCAGTGCTAGTAACTCGAGCATCAGCGACGAACTGGACGTAGGGACTTTCTATCCGAACTAGTATAAACCTCATGTGCTCTAAGCACATCATCCGAGCCAGACGCGCAATACTAGAAATTTACTAGTTGGTAACTCGAAACATCAACATATGTTTACGTGGCAGAACCGTCCAAATTATACTAGCTCACGTGTACCTGTCATTTCCTGAAGACCTCTGATTGTGCTGTGCACGGGAAGACAATTCCGGTAGTTTATTGGGTGACCTCGGGGGATTCCGAACCATCCACTTTTTCACATCTGTCAGGATCATTACAGAAAACATTACAATATTAGATCAATTGATACAAATATTTTGCATCAGAGTTTAAAAGCGAAAGTCTTACGAACCATAACAAACTATAATTTACAAACTATTTATTTAAATATTACAAACCACAAGTTTTAGCCTTCTCAGGCCGTGAATTACAAACCATAACAAATCATTTTGGCTTGTTTGCCATGAATTATGTGTTAAAGATGGCATATGATAGATATTGATGGCTTTAATATAAATTGTGATTTTTGTTCCAGTTGTCTGACATGGTTAATGTTGATTGTATGGTTAACGTATAAACAAATGATACTATATGGTTAAATTTTTGTATGCCTAGGGTTGGACACTGGTCGCTAAAAATATATAACATCAGCCGGTGTGTCATTATAAGTTTATAATAGGCGTCAGACAGTCGGTCGTTATATCTATTACATAGCGTCCTACGGTCGGTCGTTAAAGATTTATAATGACGTCAGTATGAACGACACATATAAGGGTCGTTAAAAAGATATAACGACTGACTGTATGTCGCTGAAATGGCTTTTAACGATTCACCGGGCGACGCTAAAGATAGGTTGTGGTAGTGTGGACGAATCCTCATCTCTAGTGCAGTTTCTCTCGTGGCTACAGAACCGTGGCAGATGAGGAATTCCAGATACTGGGAGATGACCCTTTGTGCAGAAGTGACGACGATCAGTTTCAGTTTTTTCATGTTGCGGAACCTAACTGAAAAAGAAAGCTACTTTTCAATCACTTGCATATAGCATATAATCATCTTTAGTTCACTCTGAACAGCACGTATGTTGGCTGTCCCTGACCATGTTGAGAAACCACGTGAAGTCATCACATAAAACACGGAGGAAAGCCAAGCTACGAATGTGCTGGAAGAACTACAAGTTCACCGTCATGCCCTGTCCAATCCATACTTGATAGTTGATAACCATACCTGCAACCCATGAAATCTCTCTCTCCCTCCAAAGAACCGAGAAGTACAAGAGCCCCTGCTTCTCAAATAATCATGCACAGCTACCATAGAGCGCTGAGTCACACATGTCAGGCCGCGACCAGATGACAATATGCAAAAGATGGTGGAGTAGATGTAGCTAGAGTTATGGTATGCACGGTCCGTCTTGCTGCGATCCTGCTATTTATTGTACAAGATTTCTATGGTACTTGTATTCAGACGACAGCATGCTCCACCTGAAAATACACGTAAAGTTCTATCATGTATCTTGATTGCCTCCGGATAGCAAAAAAAAAAAAAAAAAAAAAAAGAAAGAAAGAAAGAAAGAAGTTGTGCTTCTATGGTTCTATACTTTATGTCTTTATTAGTCCTGTGCACCACCATATCCACAAGATACGTATTTACCAACTTGAAAATGGCGCAGTTCTCATCCTACTGACTACAAAGGATAGGATCAACTTCAAAAATGATGAAACCCAGAGTATACTACCTTGTCATATGGAAATCCAAACTGCTCAAAAATCCAAACTGCTCAAATAAGCTATATTGCGATATTCATTCAAATATGCGATCTTTCATCTTTGGAGGATATATGGTATAACTGATGCAGATCGCGAAATCCTTACTTAATTATTGTTCCTAGCTAAAAACTTACACACATCGGAAATTATTTTTGCCTTGCTATAGTAGCACAATGAAGGTAGCTAACTAGATTTAATACACTACGAATATAAACTATAAAAATATGGAAAAAAAAATGGTGCTAGACGACAAGACACTTGTAAAGGCACGCGCTACTAGTTGGCTATAGATACGTCACTCATGATATGGAGGACAAAACAAGAGAAGAGATATCGTGACGAAAATGTAGCGTGGCATGACCTTTATGTCTTGACTTTTCCTACTATAGATAGATGCTCTATTGCGTGCACCGATTGTTTTAACTCTTTCCACTTGTTAATTGCTAGAGATTATCTTGTAGATACGGCACATGTACTCTGGTCGCAGCAGATCTGACCACCATATGTAAACTTGAGAAGTAATATTAAGTTTAAAAAACTAAAGAACTTTTTTGATGAAAAAAACTAAAGAAATTCATGTGGAATGAGAACAGCCATTTGAATTTGGTAAAAATGTATTGCACAAACTTGATTCCCTTGTGTGAGCCTCACGCAAGACGTGATACCGGAGGTGAAGGCAACATGATCTCTATGGCGATCGGACGCTTAATCAAACTTACAGTCGACAAAACTTTTATAGAGCACGTCATTTGCCTGTGTAAAAAGAATTCAAACTTGTCAGTAATTTGCCAGAAAACTTTTATGAACACGTAGAAACGGCAAAAAGAAAAAGAAAAATCCTGGCACGTGGGGTGCATGCCCCTCCTTGACGTTTCCATCCCACACAGTCGACATAGCAGTCGGACAGTCCTACAATCTCCCAATTCAGCCCTGCCGCGAAACGCTATTCCCACGTCGGCCGCCACGGCGGCTCCCCCTTCTCCTCCTCCTCCTCCTCAAATAGGGGAGGCGAGCGCCACCATTCACTACACTTCTCCTTCTCTGGCTCTCGTTCCTTGCCTGCTGCATCCAGTGCGAAGTCGCGGACGGAGCAAGCCGCCGTCGCAGAGCGCCCGTTTCCGGATGGGCACGAGGTCCGCGACGGCGACCGAGATGGCCCTAGCCATCGGTGGCGTCGGCGTCGATGAGTCCTCCGCGCTCGGGAGGAACGTGTTCGGCGTCAAAAGGGTGGTCTTCCCGGTCGCCCAGATGTCCGTCCCGGGTCGGCGGCGCCTCGGGAAGCGGCTGATGTCGGAGCTCGACGCCGTGCGCGATCTCCTCAGTAGGGCGGAGCTATATTCCTGCGTTTCTGGCGCAGCCGGCAAGGGCGACCGGCTCTTTGCCCCCGGTGCGCCAGTGGAGGAGGATGATGGGTGCAGAGCGGCGAAGAGCAGAAAGGTATCTCCTTTCGCGGATCGCGCAAGGGAGTCGAAGCGAGATGATAGGGAGCGGCTGGCCGGCCGCCTGGCCTCGATGGTGGCGGTGCTGCCGGATCACGTCGTCGCGTTCCTGCAGAACCGACGCGTTGGGGATGCCGATTCCCGCGGCGACGACGGCGAGATCGAGATGGACGACGTGCACTCCATGAAAGATGGTGCTCTGTTCCAGCTGAAGATGTTGCTGGACAAGTTCGCGCCGGAGAGCTCGCCCAAGTTGCTGGTGGACAAGTTCGCGCCGGAGGTGAGCACGCCGAAGAGTTGCGGAAGGTGCGCACCACTGGCTGCCTCCGGCATCATCTGCCTGTCGCAGGCGCAGCACCAAGAAGCAGGAGCCAGAATGCCCCCGGTGCAAGAGGAGGAGGAGGAGGGCATCAACATCTGTGGCGGCGTCTCTCGCATAGAGATCCGGGACATCGCCGAGGAGTACGGCGAGCTCGTGAATGACATCGGTGTTCAGCTCCTGTCGCCGCTCCAGCGCAAGTACGTTGATCTCGCCGAGGAAGACAGGTACGTTGACATCTGCGGCGACGCCTCTCCTGTCGTGTTCCCGGCCAAGACCTGCGATAGCAGCAGCCCAAGCTTAAGCACGAGCAGTGACTCCGATGCAACGTCCACTGATTCCGACTCAAGCAGCAGCTCGCCGGAGGCTCTTCCCAAGGAGCATTCATGTTGCAGAGCCGGAGAACCAGTGCCGGCGCCTGAGTCTGATCTTATCCAAGGCAAACACAATACGCAGCCACCAGAGCCGGCGCCTGAGGCGATTCATATCGCAGAGCCGGAGAACCAGTGCGCCCCGGCGACGGTGTTCGCGGTCACCAAAAGCCCACCTTCGCTGACGGTTCTTCCCAAGGAATGTGGCACCCTTGCTCAGCCACCAGAACAGGCACCGGAAACTGTCCAGATTGCAGAGCCAGAGGAGCTTAAGGAAAAGTGTGCGGCGCCCGGGGCTACGGTGCACCCCATCACCGGCAGCGCACCTCCGCCTGCGGTTCTTCCCAACGAGAATGGCATCTCTTCTCAGCCGGCACCGGTGCCGGCGCCAGTGGCGGCGCAGATTGCAGAGCCGCAGCCACAGCCACAGCCACAGACGAGCGACCTGATCGACATGGCGCGACAGGAGGGGAAGAGGCGTGCGATGGCCAAGGCCCGCCAGGAGCTTCTCAAGCTGCAGAGGGCGGCGCTGCCCGACGAGCGCATCCATCCGCTGGACATGGAGCTGCTGGGCATCGCGGCGTTCGAGCACGTCGTGAGCACCGTGCGGGACGCGCGCACGGCGCAGCCCCAGGTGAACGATGAAGTTGACCTCCGTGTCTCTCCCGGTCGCCCCAGCATATTGCAGCAGCTGGGGGTCTTCCTGAAGGCCGATGGCGACGGCGAGGAGGAGCAGCTGCCACCGCTGGCCGTCGCTTCTGATGGTGAAGACATGGACATGGAGATAGAGGACGGGCAGATTCTCTAGGAACGTAGGCACCATGCATGCGTCAATGCAGCGTTGCATAGTTGGTTTTGTATGATCCCTGATTCCCTCACCTTGGAAAAATCAGCTCTTAGTATTTTCATTCTCAGGCTAGTGTTTTTGCATGGTTAACAAGCAGGATAATGTATGTTTTGTCTGTTTATTTGTTTGTTGGTGATAGCCTTTTCCTTAATCTTTTCATTTTGGTTTCAAACATCTTGAATTTTGGTTCACAAGCACCAAAAGGATTCATACTTAGCCATTTCCAAAGGGTGTGTGTACAAAATAATTAAGGCCATGTTTGGATCCTAACAACTAGTTGACTAATTTTTAGTACTTAAGGATCCAAACAGATAGACTAATTGTTACTCCGCTAGTTATGGACTAGTTGTTAATCCATTAGTCTACATATAGGAGTGAAATAAGACTAGTTGTTAGTCGTAGTCCATCCAAACATGCCCTAAGTATTCCCAGGCCATTGAACACATGGTTCTTCCACCCTTAAATGGAGATTTGATGGCCCTTATCAACTGAGCTAGATATAGTAGCAATTCTAGTCATCTTCGACCTCTGGATCTCCTTTCCTAGAGGTGTGTGATTTCACTGCTACCGCCATCGCAACACAATCTGTAGCATGTCTCCAACTCATACGTGCAATCACACTATTCTTTCTCATCTCTCAGTCCTCGTATATGGCATCTCAATGCACCTGCATTGGGCATTGGGTAGGGGCACATGCCCCTAAGGGCAAAAAAAAAGCCGCCTCTATAAAGTAAGCGATAATGTGATATTCAAATATGTGATCTTCGGAGGATATATGGTACAACTAATACAAATTGCCAAATCCTTAATTATTGTTCCTAGCTAAAAACTTACACATAGGCACATAGCTGAAGTTATGTTTGTGTTGCTATAGTAGCACAATGAAGCTAGCTAACTATATTTAATACACTATGAATATAAACTATAAATATATGAAAAAGATGGTGCTACAAGACATGACACTTGCAAAGGCACGAGTTACTAGTTGGCTATAGTCACGTCACTCATGATATGAAGGACAAATCAAGAGAAAAGATATCGTGACGGAAATGCAACGTGGCATGAGCTTTGTGTCTTGACTTTTCCTACTATAAATAGATGTTCTATCCCATGCACCGGTTGTTTTAACTCTTTCCACTTGTTAATTGCTAGACAATATCAGGACGTGCGCATGACGCAGCCCTAGGTGAATGATGGAGTTGGCTTCGTGTCTCGCCTGGTCGCCCCAGCATATTGCAGCAGCTAGGGGTCTTCGTGAAGGTCGATGGCAGCGGCGAGGAGCAGCTGCCACCGCTGGCCGCCGCTTCTGATGGAACATGGAGATAGAGAGGACGGGCAGATTCTCTAGGAACGTAGGCACCATGCATGTGTTGATGCAGCATTGCATCGTTGGTTTTGTACAACCCCTGATTCCCTCACCTTGTAATAATCAGCTCTTAGTATTTCCATTCTCAAGCTAGTGTTTTTGCATGGTTAACAAGCAGGATAATGTATGTTTTGTTTGTTTATTTGTTTGTTGGTGATAGCCTTTTCCGAAATCTTTTCATTTTGATTTCAATCATCTTGAATTTTAGTTCACAAGCACGATAGTGATTCATACTTAGGCAGGTGTGTACAAAATAATTAAGGCCATTTTGGATCCTAACAACTAGTTGACTAATTTTTAGTCCTTAAGGATCCAAACAGATAGAGTAATTGTTACTCCACTAGTTATGGACTAGTTTTTTATCCATTAGTCCACATATAGGAGCTAATAGGACTATTTGTTAGTTCTAGTCCATCCAAACATGCCCTAAGTATTTCCAGGCCATTTCTAAACCTAACCTCACTAGTGGATCTCATTATCGCTAGAGAAGAAGCTATAGCTAAACCAAGCATGAATAACGATCGTGTGATCCAACAATATGGTGCCATCTTCCCTAAAACACTAGGATATCCATTAGCCGTTTGCTTTCAAACTGGAATTGGCGGGCCTTAGGCATGCTTGTTAGCAAGAACATGATCGTGCTTAACTAATGAGTGAAATTAACATAGGTAAATTTTGTGGCTTGAATCTTTTCTAGGAAAATACAACAACAACATTGAGATGAAATAGTGGAGTTCATCTAGCCCACTCGGCACAAGTGTTAAATTGTGAACCTAAATCGTATCAGAACTCTACAGACAGAATCACATATCATAGTAATGTAACTACTAGAAACCTAAAATCTTAGATTCTAGAATAAACACAATTAGTTAAGATCCTAAAATTGTAAAAGCACACTATAGAATTGTGATTTTAACAACTATTCTTGGAAGGATCATAATGTTGATTTGTTCTGGAGTTAGGTGAGATTTACTTATGTTTCATTGCAGTTTAAGATTAGAATGCTAACATATCCTTTTTTAATCATCCCTCAAGTCACGAATACTTCATTTTGGACAATGATGCAATCTCTCCAGTAGAATCAACAGATTTGAAGCATCATTTCCATCGATTCTACCATATTAAGCATAGGCAATAGATTATTTATTACATCACAAGTCATACACGTGTCATTCTAGTACCATGACTACATATACAAACAACTGATGCAAAAGTAATCAATTGACAACATATTTGTCTATTAATGAACACACACATTTTGATCCCTACTTCATGTCAGATCCTTGTTTGAGATGTTGAATGTTACATGGATTTGGAGACATAGTTCATTTCTTGCATTTCTACTTCTACCCACAGCTACCTCCCCATTCAGTTTCTTCTTCTATCCAAGCCATCTAGCTATGAGTAACCGATTTTGCTACCTTTTCTATAGAAATCATGGAAATTCATTACCTACAAACAAGGGAAAACTAAGATTTTTTATAATAATTAATTATTGTTGGTCTAAGACTAGTGTGTACAATATTCTTTCTTTCCACCTGACCACCTGCATGCCATGTCTATAGTGGTAACAAATCTTATAAATATACTTGCCCTCCTTAATTTAATCACTAGATGTTGAACTCTCTAAATTTTACTACTAAAACTCTACATGTGAATTGGCCCAGCATCATTCCATATGGACAACAAAAGTTACGGTGTCCTACTGAATCATTCCATAGAAGTATCCCCAACACCGAATCATTCAAGATTAGGCAGGAAAGCTCAATCAATATTGAAATTGAATTAGATATAGAGGGCGGTGTGAACATGCTATACATAAATGCATATAAGAAATGTGACTAATAAATGAAAAAGCAAAGAGTACAAGGAATGTATCAAGAAGAGCAGTAATCAATTCAAGGTTCACACTTAATATAGTGGAAGCAACAATCTTTTCCAACTTAATATACATACTAAACTATTCACTTGTAGATATGTAATGATGCAAGATGTTCTTTACCAAATGATGATGATACATCACTCAATCTCTGCATTAGTTATAAGATATCCTTGAACTTAGTTTGCGCATAGGATATTTTCTTAGTTTGCGAGTGCCCCTAGTTGGAGATATATTGACAATTATGTAAGTCAAAAAAGGTCATAGAAAATTATTTTGAGAATGGTCTCTCTCTCTATATGTATGACACTGGATATAGATAATATTTGTGTAATATTATATTTTGCACAAAATCTAATTATGAAATGACATGCCACTATAGCAGGGAACCATTACTATTTTTATTTTGGTTTCACTTCTTTTTAGTGCCTACATATAGTGAAAACATTTAGGATGGTTAAACGATTGTAACCAATGCGCAACAACAGCCGAAAAATGCATAGGAGCTATTTCGATCCACAGACAAGACTTGACTCAATACATGTCAAAGTAATCTTCACATTAGCTAATCCATAGCTTTGGATTTTCCCCATCAAAAGATGGAAAATTCATCTTGGGTAATTTGCTACTAGAACTAGGCAGTATATTGCCTAGTTCTGGGTGGCCAAACCCTACACAAAACCCAATCATGTTGCTTACCCAAGCCCTCCAAAGCCAAGGGAGATGAAGAACGAAACAACAAAGGGTTGGGTGGACTATCACTACTACATTGAGACCAATCACAATTGGTTCGTAAAGCCCTTCACTAGCATTTTTCGGTCTCGGCAGTAAGTTGTCGGTGGTGATGACATTCTCATCACGGGCGGTTTGCAACATACGGTGATAATAGCTTATCACAGTCGTTTCATATTACCAGCCGGTGGTGATTTGAATTTTCAAAATAAAAAAATGAGCCAAAAAATAGCAAAAAAAATTGTTTCAATCCTAAGAAGCCTCCCACTAGCTCCAGCTTCATGATACCAAGAAGCTGCTGGACCTGAGACCTTTGTCTTTTGCTCCTCTAACCACTCCACCCCTAAGTCACTTGTGTCTATATAGCATATCCATTCCCCTGGTATTCACTTTTTAGAATTAAAAATGAATGTTTAGAACCCTAAACTGCTTCAGATGAAAAAGCCATAAACTACAAATTTGTTGTTCTAATCGAGATCTACAACTTTGATTTTGGTTGTTTCGTCATCCGAGGTCGTTTACAAATTTGAATTTCAAAATGTCAAAACTCCAGCTAGACTTTTGGGACCTCAAATGATTTCAAATAAAAAAACTCATCAACTACAGAGTTGTTGTTCTCATTGAGATCTACAACTTTGGTTTTGGTCGATTTTCCATCCAAGGTTATTTGAAAATTTTAGTTTTTAAAATTTTAAAACTTCAGATACAAATTTGAGACTATAAATGATTTCTAATAAAATAGTTGTCAACTATAAACTTGTATATCTCATCGAGATCTACAACTTTGGTTTTGGTTATTTTTACATCTAAGGTCGTTTGTACAATTCAAAAATTTTGAATTTTAAAATTTAAGTGCTTTAAACAGAATTCTAAGACCGTAAATGGTTTCAAATGAAAAAGTCATCAACTACAAAGTTGTTGATCTCGTCAAGGTCTACAACTTTTGTATAAAGTTTGTTTTCATCTGACTTTATTTGAAAAAGT